TGTGTACCTCATACCCATCCTGTGGATGGTAGTAGCTAGTTTATTGTGCACCTCATATCCATCCTGTGGATGGTAGTGGCTAGTTTATTGTGTACCTCATACCCATCCTGTGCATGGTAGTGGCTAATTTATTGTGTACCTCATACCCATCCTATGGATGGTAGTGGCTAGTTTATTGTGTACCTCATACCCATCCTGTGGATGGTAGTGGCTAGTTTATTGTGTACCTCATACCCATCCTGTGGATGGTAGTGGCTAGTTTATTGTGTACCTCATACCCATCCTGTGGATGGTAGTGGCTGGTTTATTGTGTACCTCATACCCATCCTGTGGATGGTAGTGGCTAGTTTATTGTGCACCTCATACCCATCCTGTGGATGGTAGTGGCTAGTTTATTGTGTACCTCATACCCATCCTGTGGATGGTAGTGGCTAGTTTATTGTGTACCTCATACCCATCCTGTGGATGGTAGTGGCTAGTTTATTGTGTACCTCATACCCATCCTGTGGATGGTAGTGGCTAGTTTATTGTGTACCTCATACCCATCCTGTGGATGGTAGTGGCTAGTTTATTGTGCACCTCATACCCATCCTGTGGATGGTAGTGGCTAGTTTATTGTGCACCTCATACCCATCCTGGGGATGGTAGTAGCTAGTTTATTGTGCACCTCATACCCATCCTGTGGATGGTAGTGGCTAGTTTATTGTGCACCTCATACCCATCCTGTGGATGGTAGTAGCTAGTTTATTGTGCACCTCATACCCATCCTGTGGATGGTAGTGGCTAGTTTATTGTGCACCTCATACCCATCCTGTGGATGGTAGTGGCTAGTTTATTGTGTACCTCATACCCATCCTGTGGATGGTAGTATCTAGTTTATTGTGTACCTCATACCCATCCTGTGGATGGTAGTGGCTAGTTTATTGTGCACCTCATACCCATCCTGTGGATGGTAGTAGCTAGTTTATTGTGCACCTCATACCCATCCTGTGGATGGTAGTGGCTAGTTTATTGTGCACCTCATACCCATCCTGTGGATGGTAGTGGCTAGTTTATTGTGTACCTCATACCCATCCTGTGGATGGTAGTATCTAGTTTATTGTGTACCTCATACCCATCCTGTGGATGGTAGTGGCTAGTTTATTGTGCACCTCATACCCATCCTGTGGATGGTAGTATCTAGTTTATTGTGTACCTCATACCCATCCTGTGGATGGTAGTGGCTAGTTTATTGTGCACCTCATACCCATCCTGTGGATGGTAGTAGCTAGTTTATTGTGCACCTCATACCCATCCTGTGGATGGTAGTGGCTAGTTTATTGTGCACCTCATACCCATCCTGTGGATGGTAGTGGCTAGTTTATTGTGTACCTCATACCCATCCTGTGGATGGTAGTATCTAGTTTATTGTGTACCTCATACCCATCCTGTGGATGGTAGTGGCTAGTTTATTGTGCACCTCATACCCATCCTGTGGATGGTAGTGGCTAGTTTATTGTGCACCTCATACCCATCCTGTGGATGGTAGTGGCTAGTTTATTGTGTACCTCATACCCATCCTGTGGATGGTAGTGGCTAGTTTATTGTGTACCTCATACCCATCCTGTGGATGGTAGCGCATGAGTTCATGGATACACAGAAGTCTGGGATGAAGCCTTTTGATTACACTATTGGTATATAATGCCGACATTTATGATTGGGACACATGTGCAACACCTGTCTGTCTAGATTGATGAGTGGGACACATGTGCAACACCTGTCTGTCTAGATTGATGAGTGAGACACATGTGCAACACCTGACCAACCTAAGTACCTAGACATCAACGTCTCAATCAATTAAGATAGCCAGGTGTTACACATGTGTGTCTTTCTTAATCAGTGTTTTAACCTCAGAAGAGAGATGAAATTAAACTCAGTTTACATATACTGAGATTTACACCTCTCAGTATACATACACTGAGATTTACACCTCTCAGTATACATACACTGAGATTTACACCTCTCAGTATACATACACTGAGATTTACACCTCTCAGTATACACACACTGAGATTTACACCTCTCAGTATACATACACTGAGATTTACACCTCTCAGTATACACACACTGAGATTTACACCTCTCATTATACATACACTGATATTTACACCTCTCAGTATACACACACTGAGATTTACACCTCTCAGTATACATACACTGAGATTTACACATCTCAGTATACACACACTGAGATTTACACCTCTCAGTATACATACACTGAGATTTACACCTCTCAGTATACACACACTGAGATTTACACCTCAGTGTATATACACTGCGAGATTTATGGCTCTCAGCGTATTTAACTGTGAATCAGGTTATGCTAGGCTGCTAAGTTAGCTTGCTAGGTTATGCTAGGCTGCTAAGTTAGCTTACTAGGTTATGCTAGGCTGCTAAGTTAGCTTGCTAAGCTATGCTAGGTTGCTAAGTTAGCTTGCTAGATTATGTTAGGCTGCTAAGTTAGCTTACTAGGTTATGCTAGGCTGCTAAGTTAGCTTGCTAGGCTGCTAAGTCAGCTTACTAGGTTATGCTAGGTTGATAAGTTAGCTTGCTAGGTTATGCTAGGCTGCTAAGTTAGCTTACTAGGTTATGCTAGGTTGCTAAGTTAGCTTGCTAGGTTATGCTAGGCTGCTAAGTTAGCTTGCTAGGTTATGCTAGGCTGCTAAGTTAGCTTACTAGGTTATGCTAGGCTGCTAAGTTAGCTTACTAGGTTATGCTAGGCTGCTAAGTTAGCTTGCTAGGTTATGCTAGGCTGCTAAGTTAGCTTGCTAGGTTATGCTAGGCTGCTAAGTTAGCTTGCTAGGTTGCTAAGTTGGCTTACTAGGTTATGCTAGGTTGCTAAGTTAGCTTGCTAGGTTATGCTAGGCTGCTAAGTTAGCTTACTAGGTTATGCTAGGTTGCTAAGTTAGCTTGCTAGGTTATGCTAGGCTGCTAAGTTAGCTTGCTAGGTTATGCTAGGCTGCTAAGTTAGCTTACTAGGTTATGCTAGGCTGCTAAGTTAGCTTACTAGGTTATGCTAGGCTGCTAAGTTAGCTTGCTAGGTTATGTTCAGCTACTAAGTTAGGTTGCTAGGTTAGGTTAGGTTAGTTTAGAAAACTTATAAAAACACAAACTCAAAGTAAATCGTAAGGAACTCGTCTCAAGGGAACGACTCTAGTTAGACTCTAGTTAGAGTCGTTCCCTTGAACTTATCTACCTGGACTTCCTACTCATTTCTGCAACATTGCAAGCTCCTAATGACATGTTGATTGCAACATGAAAGGCCTAGAGCTACCATTCAGCTTCCACGTAGTTGTTTTGCACCTTGTAACGATTGTTCGCAATTTCTGTAGATATGTCACTAGCTACACTAAGTGTGGTCTCCACCACGTCTATCATATCTTCTGATACTAAATATTTTTCCGTGTCTTCCCAGCCGCCTCGCTGCCAGACGCTGTTTAATTTGCCTATTTGTGGTTATATAGACCTTTATTTCACGTTTTATTGTTTTATTTTGTTTTACCGGTTAAGATCAGCCATCTTAACCTACAGGTGTTTTAAAATAGGGAGCTTAGCATTTGTCAAGTTGTGGAGGTTAAGAAACTGACGTATTAAGATGATGTTAAGGTACCACACCTGTACCACACGTATACCACACCTGTACCACACGTATACCACACCTGTACCACACGTATACCACACCTGTACCACACGTGTACCACACCTGTACATTACGTGTACCACACCTGTACCACACGTATACTACACCTGTAGCATACATGCACATTACGTGTACCACACCTGTACACCTCTACCACATCTGTACCGTGTACCACACCTGTACCACGAGTACCACACCTGTACCACACATGCACCACACCTGTACAACTGTACCACACATATACCACACCTGTCTCGCACATGTAACACATCAATACTACACCAGTAACTAATACTTTCACAATTTTTATTGTGATGAGGGTGTTAGCAAGTTTTACAGACGCTATAAAGAATTATCATCGTGGACATTATAGTCATTATAGACACTATAGATATTAGGCAAAAGACTCGTCAGGGCAGCTAAAGACTCCAGAACAGCAAGATTTTTTTTTTATGTTGCAGAGTCTCAGTGCTGCACTCCAGAGAGGGAACGCCTCTTGTAGCTTAGCTACCTTATACATATATATATATATATATATATATATATTATATATATATATATATATATATATATATATATATATATATATATATATATATATATTTATGTAAGGTTGAAAACAAAGTTAAGTGGAATACGGGTAGAATGCAAGTTATGAACCAGCTGAGGAAAGTAGGAACCAGCTGAGGGAAGTAGGAAGCAGCTGAGGGAAGTAGGGACCAGCTGAGGGAAGTATGGATCAAGTGATGGAAGTATGAAACAGACGAGAGAAGTATGAACCAGGTGAGGGAAGTAGGAACCAGGTGAGGGAAACTATGAACCAGGTGAAGGAAGTATGAACCAGGTGAAGGAAGTATGAACCAGATGAAGTATGAACCAGGTGAAGAATGTATAAACCAGGTGAAGGAAGTATGAACCAGGTGAAGGAAGTATGAACCAGGTGAAGGAAGTATGAACCAGGTGAAGGAAGTATGAACCAGGTGAAGGAAGTATGAACCAGATGAAGTATGAACTAGGTGAAGAATGTATAAACCAGGTGAAGGAAGCATGAACCAGGTGATGGAAGTAAGAACCAGGTGAGAGAAGTAGGAACCATGTGAGGAAAGTAGGAACCAGGTGTGGGAAGTAGGAACCAGGTGAGGAAAGTATGAACCTGGAAAAGGGAGTAGGAACCAGGTGTAGGAAGTAGGAACCAGGTGAGAGAAAGAAGTATGAATCAGGTGAGAGTAGTAGGAACCAGATGAGAGAAGTAGGAACCAGGTGAGGGAAGTAGGAACCAGGTGAGGGAAGTAGGAACCAGATGAGTGAAGGTATATCTCACCTGCTAACTCTGGAGGCAGGCGGGGATACATAAGTCCCGCCCTGGCGAACCAGTCTAGTGCGGCAGGCGGCAGCGTCGCTCCAGACTTGAGGGCGCTGAAGGCTTGTGCTTCCAGCAGGGGCGAGGAGGTGGGCGTGAAGGCATGGGCGGGCAGCAAGGCGGGCGGCATACCCATACCCGGGTACTGGTAGAGGTGGGGGGGCATGAGGGGGGCCGAGGCTCCCCCTAGCAGGGTGGCACGGTTCAACATGGCGGAGGAGGTGACGGCAGGGGACATAGAAAGAGGTGAAGAGTGGGGTGAGGAGAGGGGACTGAGGGGGGGAGTGTGGGGAGGCGAGGTCACCTCGTGAGAGGTCAGGTCAGTGGGGCTGAGGGTGCCACGACCGCCCACGCCCGCCACCACAGCCTCTCGCGACAACAGCGACTCAATGCAGAAGGACTTGCGCTCACTGCTCATGTCGGCGGCGGCCGGTGTCGGTAAGCGGGTTGGGGTTCGCTAGACCGCCGGTAAGCAGGTCGGGGCTCGCTGATTGTTGTGCTGGTAAGCGGGTTGAGGTTCGATAGGAGCGCCGTTCGGGTGGTTGGGGTTGGTTAGAGCTCCGGTAAGAGGGCCGGGTTCACTAAGAACGCAAAGTAAGCAGGTTGGGGTCGGTTAGAGCGCCGGCAAGCAGCAGGTTGGGGGTTGAGCAGTCTTGAGGTTGTGCCTGGCACTACACTACCACCCACACTCAACACATGCCACCAACTCTTCACTAGTTATCAAACTAACACTAAACTCATCTTCAAGAAACACCTCCAAAAGCTACTACTCATCAGTGAATATATTTTTCAGTATGGGAGATTAAGTGTTACAGTTGCTTGTTATTGTTGCGTGAGGAGCGCAGCGCTGGACACGTGCTGGCCCGCCCGTGTCGGCTGCGCTTCTGATATCACCTAACTCAGCGCTCATCACATCACCATTTCACACCATTTGTACCGCTAATGAAAACCCGGCCACCATTATCCTTTGACGATTCTGATTGGTCTAGTATCTCTTTCATTGAATTCTGGATTCCGTCGAGTGATTGGCTATCAGTTGGCCAGGCCCGCCCTAATGGACGTACGGGGGCCACCATTGGCAGAGGAGAAGAAATCCCGAGCGGCGATTAGCTGGTGGGCGCGATTGGGCGGGGCGTGGGGCGGCACTCCGCCCCCGAGATCAATATCCTGGTAGATGGTTGGTTGAAGTGGGTTTAATGCCTGATTACAAGGGCTCAGGCCTGCCGGGATATGCCACAGCAGGCGCCTGCCACTATACTTCGCTCACACTCACTCTTCTAATTGATATCAGCCACCCTCCATAACCTTCACAATTATATACACTCCCGACACGACGATGTAACTTGGCGATACGTGATTTATACATCGATGCGAAGGGGTGTATAGTGTATAGATGGTTGATATGTGAAGGGGGGATGATAATAAATGGAGAGGAGAGATGGTGTGTGCGAATCAAAGTGGGAAAGTTACGAAGACGAGGAGGAAAGGTGTGAGTGTGTGAGCCGTGAGGCTGGTCAGAGGAAGGAAGGAACTACCGGCTGGGAGCCTGATGCTCACCTAACTCTTGTCTTAGCTCACATTTTTCTGGCTCTGCGTTCCCTCCCCCTCCTCTCCCCCCCCCACATACGTATGACGTACAGCCTCTCACGCCGCACCTACGTCGCACCTGACGCAGCAGCAGCTCAGAGGCGTTTCTTCAGCAGCTCGTTGTTTCATAACGTTGCAGGAAAAGAACTCACACAGCTGAGTGTTGGAGAAAAATGTTTCTGTCAATGTTCTGAGAGAGTAAACATTGCTAGTGGGGAGCTCCCCACTGATTCTTCCTCAGTGGGGAGTTGTCTACTTGTAAGTTCCCTACTGGCTCTTCCCCAGTACGGAGCTCCCAAGTGGTCTTTCCAAGTGGTGAACTCCCCACTGACTTTTCTTATGGAGAGTTCCCTACTGCCTTTATCCCCCTACTGTATAATTCCCCACTGCCTCTACCCTAGTGCGTAGAACCTCACAGTAGCAAAGGGGTAGTCTGCTCCCCACTAGTAGCCAAGGGGTAGGGAGCTCCCCACTAGTAGCCAAGGGGTATGGAGCTCCCCACTAGTAGCCAAGGGGTAGGGAGCTCCCCACTAGTAGCCAAGGGGTATGGAGCTCCCCACTAGTAGCAAAGGGGTAGGGAACTCCCCACTAGTAACCAAGGGGTAGGGAGCTCCCCACTAGTAGCCAAGGGATAGGAACCTCCCCACTAGTAGCCAAGGGGTAGGGAGCTCCCCATTAGTAGCCAAGGGGTAGGGAGCTCCTCACTAGTAGCCAAGGGGTAGGGAACTTCCCACTAGTAGCCAAGGGGTAGGGAACTTCCCACTAGTAGCCAAGGGGTAGGGAGCTTTCCTCTAGTAGCCAAGGGGTAGGGAACTCCCCACTAGTAGCCAAGGGGTAGGGAGCTCCCCACTAGTAGCCAAGGGGTAGGGAACTCCCCACTAGTGGTCATGGAGGGGGGAAGGAGTTGCCTCGGCCCTCCCCTTCCCCCTGCCCACTAGTGGGACTCCAACAAAATAATGAGAAGCGTAAACCAGGAATTAGTTGGTATTCATGAATGGTAATTTATGCGGCTGGCAGGATCGTAAAGTGGAACGCCGGAAACAACAGCTTCGCTGGGGAAATGAGGCGAAAACCACCAAGACGAAGACGAATACTCTCTAGTGGGAGGGGGAGAGAGATGGGGGGAAAAGGGAGGGGGCAGAGGTTGTGTTTTGGGATGGTCAGAGTGGGGCTGTGTGAGTCAGTATTCCCCCATCACTATCAACACTGTTGCTGCAGTAGTTGCAAGCAACAGTAGCAGCAGTAGTAGCAACAACAACAACAACAACAACAGCAGTAGCAACAACAAAAACAACAACAGTAGCAGCAGCAGTAGCAACAACAACAACAACAGCAGCATAAAGATCTGATGGTAGATGTGGAGGCCACCACAAGAAGGTGAGGTGTGAGAGGAGGGGTTTAGGTAGAGGGTGTACTTAAAGGGTTTAGGTAGAGGGTGTAGGTAAAGGGTTTTGGTATAGGGTGTAGGTAAAGGGTGTAGGTAGAGGGTGTACGTAAAGGGTGTAGGTGGAGGGTGTAGGTAAAGGGTCTAGGTAGAGGGTGTAGGTAGAGGGTGTAGGTAAAGGGTTTAGGTAGACGTTGTAGGTAAAGGGTGTAGGTAAAGGGTGTAGGTAAAGGTTGTAGGCAAAGGGTGTAAGTAAAGGGTGTAGATAGAGAGTGTAGGTAAAGGATTTAGGTAGAGGTTGTAGGTAAAGGGTGTAGGTAAAGGGTGCAGATAGAGGGTGTAGGTAAAGGGTTTAGGTAAAGGCTATAGGAAAAGGGTGTAGGTAGACGGTGTAGGTAAA